AATTCAGGTCAGTGGTTCAGTTTAGCATCACTGTGTCTCACCACAGTTTTAATCTCATTCACCAGAGGGAGGAAACTGCATTGTGTTCTCTGGTCAACCTTAAACTGGAGATACTTGCTCTTCAACCACGCCTTTGTGATATTATCATCATCATCATCATCATAATCATACTATTTTGTAAATTTTGAGAAACCAACAGCGTAGATGGTGACAGTGGTGACTATGTTTCACTCATTTTGCCAATGCGAGAAATCATTGATGAGGAACACCTCCAATATTTTTGAATGTCCGCCAAGATATTTGATGATTTGCTCTGTCGTTACACACAACACAGAGCGGAGCGGCTTGCCATCACTCTCCAGCTTCCAAGGCCACATCCCCATACGGTCCTTGGACCGCCCCATAGCGTTCATGTGCATATAGCATTTTATGTATGCTTAGCATTAATCTCTCCAAATGGACGCAGGATATACAATGCTGCCATCATGTACACGCAAAGGCGTAGTTAAAAGGTTGTATTTGGGGTGATCTAATGGCCAAATGGTTAGGACGCGTACCACATGTGCTCAAATACCCTGAGCGGTGAGACCCGATTCAACTCTGAGCTGGCCGGACCATTTGTTGCATATCTCTGGTTTTATTTGCTGTCCAGGGTTTGAGCCCACTTTAATGAGGTGCAACTGCTCCCTCATGTTGCTGTCTTTTTCAATTGACCCAATAGAAAAAGGCAAAAATAGAAACCAAACCTTCAGTCTTGGTCAGAAGCCATTGTTATTTGCTAAAATATTGTCATCTGGCCTCCAGGGCTAGCTAGTTTTAATCACCAAACAATTTCAACTGGGAAAAATAATATTTTTGTAAATGGCTTCTTTGGCTGTAATCTTTGTTAGGAATAACACAGAAGAGGAAGAAAGTATTTTGATTTTTTGGGCTGAATGAAAGAAAGACAACCTCAATATATCTTTGCTTCAGCACATATTGTCATGGAAATGGTACCATTTATGTCTTTGGGTGTCTTCTTCCCATAATGTTGTGCCATTCCTAGTAGAAGAAATGTACATGCATAGTGTCATGATACAGAAAGTACTACATTATTCATAGAGTTAAAAACTGGAATTAAACTAGTATATGTAGATTTGCATGTTTAAAAAACTCTTTAAATTATACCTCAGAGTTTCCAAAGTAACCACATCATAGTTTCCAATGGAAAAAGATAAGTATTATCCCAGATCAGCATCTGTAATCTTATGTGCTGTACGCAAAACTCTCTTTCTCGACTTTCCCTCCTCTGTCTGAGGTTGGACAGCAGCATCTCAGAGTGTCTGTACCAGCATTAGTCTGTCATTGTATAGTTTCCAGATGTTTGAGGAAAGAGGATTCATCCATCATGACCAAAGTCCATGACCAGAGGTTTCCAGAGGTCTTTACTGCGACCCTGGTTCAACCATACCCCTCCTCTCAGTTTCCAAGTCCATCCTAAAGTGCACTCAAGAGTGTATTTGAGGCAAACATGGGGAAATATGCAGGATGCAGGAACAAAAACAAACATCCCTGTGGGATAAAATAGGGCATTTCAAAAATCAAAATTAGCTGACAGGACCAGTTTCAACATTATAGTCTGGAGCCAGGGGTATAATCAGTGCTGACATAATGCGCAGTGAATGTCAGGATGCATGAATTAAGGAAGTCGTGACTGTAGCCGACGCCAGCAGGCAACTATCTGTTGACCCCGTAGCTTCGTGTTGTATAGGGACAGCAGTTGGAAGAGATGTTGGGAATCACGTCTTTATGTTGAGCAAGACAACATGACAACTTCATCCCTGTTTTATTTAATTAGGCAACGGATGGAGCAGTGATTCAGTCATGCCTTTGTCATGCCAAGGAAGACTTTGGCTGTAAAGAATGATTCAGACACAGGCTAAATTATTGCCTGCTTTACAGCGTCTCACTTCACATTTTGATGGGTACCAGAGGGCCAGAGCACAGAGAGTATGTGCTTGATTTGGCCCAAATTGTATACGTTGCTCCATTTGTTGGCTTCGAATGTATAAAACTCTAGAGGCTGCTAGTGCTGGTCCAAATAGCATCAAAAGCTTGATTAAAATGACATGACTATAAATTTAGGATGACAATCACAACAACTACACAAAGTTATTGCTGTAAACCTGATTCCCTCAATTTGCAGCTGCAGCATCTGTAAAGAGCCTGAACTTGACGTACTTCCGTTAATTGCTTCAGAAGTACAATGGCATTGGGTTGCAAATGTCAGAGCACCTGTCTCCTGTATTTACATTGGTCAGACCTTTGGTGGTCTAGTTTGCCCCTTGGCTAATGATAACCCCTAATGATAACCCTATAAGTACGCATTTGTCTAGGTAAGAAGGTTTAACACTGTGCAGCAGTTTCTACCTCAGTAAAATTAGCACAATGCTATTAGCTAGCTCAAATATGCACTTGCATATTTCTAAACAAGTGCAGTGCATTGTCACATTACGTTGCGAAGACCCAAGTTCTCCCATCAGTGATGGATGACCTTGCTGAAGCTTCGGCATTGTTGGCAGTAGCTGCAGCTCAGGTAGGAAAGCGGGTTGGTCATTGATTGCCGGATCACAGGTGAAACAAAGTACTTATGCTACCAAAATTAGTTTTCTGTTCTCAGAAACACTCAATAGGCAGTGCAAGCCATAACCATGATCAACTTAGGACAACTACTTATTGGTCCCTTTAAGGGGTTGAGAAAATGGTGTAAAGACTTGAAAATTTAAGTGAAATTTAAAAAAAGCACCGACTCTGTACTGCACATAGTTGGAACAACATGTTGGAACACAATTGATGCCATTTATCTTTATACAATGCACAAGTTACCATAATGTGCTTTCGCCACTCTTTCACCACTTTGAATGGGATGCAGATTACTCTGCAGACAAACTGAGCCAATTATAGTTTTCACAGCAGTTAAAGAATCTATGTCAAAACAGAGCTGTTCATCTTAATGTTTTCATTGGCGGCCTAGACAGAACAATGGAGCTGACTATGAGGCCTTGTACCTCAGACACTGCATGTTAATTGTGTACCACCCATCTTTCCATATGCTTCCCATCCTGTTCTCTGAAGTTGAACCAAAACATATCTAAACCCATGACAATAGCGGAGAGCTTTCAAGGTCCAAATAACACAACAGCATAATGATTTCCAAACATAACACTCTTTGTAGGTGTCTTTCTACATCAGGTATGCACACATTTTGAAAAGTGATCTTGGGATCAAGTGGAAAATTAAATCCAAATATATGTTTATACACAAGGCTGCTGCTATGAAGCCTCAACAGACTTAGTGTGGCTTCACTCAGCCTGGTTGTATGAACCGTTAGCTCGTAAACCCTTTGAAATAGCAAGGCTCTGCGAAGGAAGAACGCCAAACCAACCAACCGCCTTTGGAAAAGAAAAAAGAAAAAGTCACAAAAACACCAGACAACAACCAGATTGCCTGGCACTGTTACTAGATATAAATAAGGAAATAGAGACTAAAAGGCCTTGTACAGATGGTCAGCCTAACCGCTTTGTACCCATTAAGCCCACTTTTCCTTTGGAGCATACATGGCAGCCTCCAATGGAAAAATAACAAAAGGGAACTATCAAGTGTTAGAGGTGTTAGTGAGGTGTTTTTACCGCACAGATATTTATTGAAAACTGGTAAAAAATGTTGGTGACAACTGTAGTGAGAATAATTAATGTCTATTTGACCCAAAGTATCGTGGTAGAGCCCTAGCCCAAAAGCATCTTAGGACTAGGAAACAGAAACTTCATCTGTTCTCAAGAACGAATTTTAAGATCTACTTTCTCGATCTCATCAAAATCCAGAGACTTAAGTAATCTTCATCCACAGATAGAGCTGGCTCACTCATCGTCATGAGACCCAAGTATGGAATATTGGTCACATAATAACACTGAGAGAGAGTGGGAGATGATAAACATGAAAAACTGTCTTTGACATCAGATCATTGATCTTTGATCTTTGATCTTTGATCTTTTTCAAGGCGTCGACTGGCTCCTGCTAAATACGTTTGACCTCTTCCCTGCTGTGACAGGTTTTGGCGTGGTGTTCACAGACAGCTGATGGTTTTTGTTTATGAGGTGTTCATTCAGTCTCTTGTTCAGGGTCCCTGTCATTTCACCAATGTAGTACACTACTGCAAGCTTTGTATTCTGGCAGGGGTCCTCTCTTTAGGATGTACCAGTCTTAGCGATTAGCATCAACCGTTCAACAGCACCCTGACTCCTTGTGACTTGAAGACTCTGGCTTTTATAGTGTTTCATAAAAGTATCTCAAATCTTAGTCGACTTATTGTATATGATCTCTGTGTTTAAGACCAACATCTCATTCAAATCTAATGAACCGTTTCTTATATTTTTTATATTTTAATAATTCTTTTTTTTTTTGAAGGTGGTTACTTTTGCTTCCAGGCTGCACTTTGGATTGTTTAAGTTTAAACCGATGGTGCCAGATATTATTGCACTTCTCTCCTCATATACACATGCAGTGAATGTAAAATAATACATTTTGTTTCTCACTCACGTTTTGCCCTCACCCACATCCCTGTTCTTGCTTTACTCTCTTGTCAAGTTCATTTAAACTATACTGTGCATATGTATGTAATTTAAACCATGTCGTGTTTTTTTTTTTTTTTGTGGTGGAATAATAATGAATACCTCTCCTATAAGTTAACGCTATGTGAAAGAGAAATTTCAACATACCACCTAAATTAAAGCTGTAATACTATCCCTGAAATAATAGTTTTAAACTTATAATAATACTAATACTTGAGTGGTAAATAATGAGTGTTGACATGCTTTATTTGACTGAACCTTTATACCATCAAGGTCAACCTAAATGCATTCAGATGGTTCATTCTCACACTTACTTATAACAGTTCAATGATTATTGCATACTCATGTCATAATCCTTTTGTGTCCCTATGTTTCTTTGCTCCCTGGATGCAGATAAATGTTACTCCAACCAGGCCAGCCCAAAGTGCATCTCCTCATCCTCATCCTCCTCAGAAGTGGAGCCCAACTCCTCTTCTTCCTCGTCCTCCATCCTTCCTGTCAGCCAGATGATTGATAAGGTGAAAGATTACTGCTCCACACGCTCCGACAACTTCTACAAAAACATCATCATGTCCGACAGCTTCGCCCACAGCACCAGGTTCTAGAAGTGTCCTCAGTGTTTCGGGGCGGACTTTCTGGAACTTTTACTCCCTATGTTTTGGAACTGTTCTAATTGTTCTAGAAAAGTCACATCATCTTTCTGACAGCTTCAGTGATAAAGGATGCTTCTATCAAAGGTTCCAATGTAAAGGGCAATAATGTCTTACCATGATGGACCTTCCCACAATATTATTTAAGGCTTCACTTTTGCTCTGAAACCACCACCCAATGCTCTAGAACCTTTTTGTGTTCCGGAACAACTCTTAAGAACTCTCCAGAAGCCTCAACCACAGAGGAGCATTCTACACTAACTCTCTCTGAGAGTCTCATCCATTGAGAACCTTCTTTGTTCTGGACCCTCTCCAAGCATTCTAGAGCTCTTTGCCAGCCTCAGCCAGAAAGGGTTTCACCATGACAGTCGCCCCTCCAACAATCTAGAACCCTCCAGTCTGAAAGACCCTGACCAGTGTTCTAGAACCATTTTGGCCCTGTCACTGCCATGGAACATGTTCTAGAACATTTGTTTCTTGAATCTCTGCATGCTTCCTGCCATCCTCTCTCGCCCCCGTTCTGCTTTTAATTTTGAATTTAATTATGTTTCATTGTTGGAAGACACAGCTGTTGTTAGAAGCCCCAATTTTGATTCAAAATTTATTTGGATTGATTAGCGAAAATTTAAAATTGGTTTCTATATCTAGTCATCAAAATTCATGAGGCGCTGGTTTGGTTGGGTGACAAAGTGCTTATTGGTTAGCAATGTTTTCCTCAGTACCAATGCAGCATTTACAGTATGTAGTATAAATGCATGAACAGTAGCTACATGAATCAACCCAGAGCCACCATTTTAATGCACTGTATTAGCACTGTATTAGCTTTCATGAAAATGCCTGCTAGTTAAGAAAAAAATTTCAAGAGACAGCCTGAGAACCAGGTCAAGATAATCACAGACTGAGTCATACATTATGCTTTGAAATCCCAGGGTCTCCTGGATGATAAAGGGTGTTTAAGGGCTTCAGGGTGGTCAGAGAACCTTGCTGCGATTCAACTGTATAATATCAAATTACAGAATCGGCTGACCTGGCTGCCAGACTGTGTAACTAAGAGGAAATGAAAAGGAGCAGCGGGTAGGAAAGGATAAACACAAGGTGGGAAGGCAGAGAAGAGAAAAAAAAAGTTCTGGTAGAAAAAAAAGTAGGCTGTTATGTTTTGGTGTTTTTTTAATACTGTGATGTTTGTTAAAACTGGCCGTTTGTGCATGTGTGTGTGGAGCCATATCCTATGTAAATATTGATGATCTATCTATTCTATGTGCCTTATTCTTTAGTGTTATAATGTGTCCAAGCGGTTGCTTTTGTTCATGCCGCCACGGGGTCCTGCAAGGGTCACCTTGACTGTACATACAAACCCATACATTCTCCAGCTCCCCATGGTGTGTAGACACACACTCTGCTGTCGTTTTCACCTGTGTGAGAAAATAAGTCATGGAGACAGAAAGGGCAGAAATCACAGGATGGATGAAACAGAACAGAATATAATCAATCAGTTTGTCAATCGAGGTGCTTTTTGGAATAACTCCCAAACAAAATTGGAGATTATTTGAATTATTCCTTCACAGTTGGTATCTATAACAATGTGAAAAGCAACATATTGACGCACATTTTTAAAATTGTATTGGAAATATTCCAACTTGGAAAATGCCCTGAAGCTTTCAAGTATCTCTTTCTCAGACCAATGTTCTGGACCAACCGGTGTTGTCAGATTGTAAGACATTTTTTAATGATTATAATATTTATCTCCTTCAGTTTGCACTTTTTCCTTAAAAGATTGAAAGTTTCTCTATGTGGCAAATTAGACAATCATGCTGTGATTCACTGATGATTGATGTCTTGTGGTTTGAGGATAAATGATAAAAACCAAGATAATGCCGGTGGCCAGTGAAGCTCAGCTCCTTGGGCATGTCAGCCAAAGTTTAGCAATGATAGAAGGTATCATTTGTGGCAACAGCTTGACTGTTCAAGGGAGGAAAGTTATCACATAAAAAAAAATAAAAAATCATAATAGCTTTGTTTTTATGATAGCAAAAAGAATTCCCGGCAGGAAGAAAACAGTCACTGTGCAGACACCGGGATGATATTATCCCCACCTAAAGGGTCAGTTCATGCAACGTTTTCCCATTGGGTGTTTGGCTACACACATAGTTTTGGTTTTATCCTGCTGCGTCCTGCCACAACTCAAATACAATAGAGGTAAACAGAATTTCACTTGTGGTGCTTAAATGATCAAAAAAGCACATTTGAAAAACTCCAAATCAACATTTGATTCTGGATATTCTGCAGACTCTCAGCAGACATTTCACAAGCTCAGCTTTTTGGCTAGAAAATAGTCCCCATTGGAGTCTGTTGACAGTGAGGTCTGTGGATTATCAAGACTAATCAGGGTGTTGTTTCTGGAAGGACAGATTGCTGTTGAGTTTGTCAAGTGTCATTATGCCTCTGCGCCCGCGACAGCCATGAGCAGAGGCATCGTGTTTGGGTTGTCCATCAGTTCCATTCTCACAATGGCGATATCTCAGTAATGCCTTAAGGGAACCCCTTCAAATTTGGCACAAACATTCACTTGGAATCAAAGATGAACTGATTAGATTTTGGTGGTTAGAAGTCAAAGGTCAAGGTCACAGTGACCTCACAAAACACAGTTTTGGCCTTGCGTATGTGATATCTCAGGAACTCCTCAAGGGGATCCCTTCAAATTTGACACAAACTTGGACTCAAGGATGAACTGATTAGAATTTGTTGGGCAAAGGTTTAAATTCAAGGTCACAATGATCTGACGTTCTTGTGAATGTAATAATATCAGGAACGCCCAGAGGGAATTTCATTATGTCTGGCACAAACATCCACATGCACTCGCGGATGAACTGATTAGAATTTGGTGTTCAGAGGTCAAGGTCACTGTGAGACACAAAACAATTTTTTTGCCATAACTCACAAATTCATATGCTAATTATGACACTATTTAACTCAAATGTCTAATAAATAAATAAAATAATGAAAGTGATGACATTTTATATCCAAAAGATCAAAGGTGAACTTCACTGTGACATCATAATGTTCTGTAAAAACACTTCTGGCCATTATTCAACGCTGTGACTCATGAAGGGGAGATTGTGAACATATTTCCTGCAACTTGACTGGTTGGCAGAGTCGTACAACCACCAGCTGGTATTTTTAGTTTATTTTCAATTATTTTAACAGAACAAGAGAAATTCCATTCAGGCCACCTGCACTGGGGTGGTAGCAAGTATTTAAAGAAGAAAAACTGATTCGGGTGAACTGACCCTTTATTGAAACTGTATGTACAGTGTGGTCCAAAGTTATGAGCCCACTAGAAAGTGCCATTTCAATTCATTATTAATCAAAAATCATCCAATTTTCTCTGTCAAATGTTACAAAAGACTTGAGACTCAACGTCAAAATGGGATACATATGGTATACTTTACAACACTGATGCTACAGCAGTTTTACATTTAGCTTCTAGCTTAGCTTTTATCACCTCCGGCTCCTGTCAGCAAGCCTTAAAAACATAATTCAACTGAGTATTTTGCTAGTAAATGAATCCTTCTCCATACATTTGAAGCTGCAGAGAATGGTGTGCCTCCTCATAAAATAATGATTCCTCTAGTTCTGCATGTAGCCCTCTCCTCACATATGCTCTCCAACTGCAGAACTTGAATTGATGTTTGAACAGTAATTTCCTCCAGTCATTAGCTGTGGCTGTTTGGCTCGAGCAGAACATTTAGTCAACAGTGAAGAAGCTTGGAAACAGACACTGTCTGTGCCTATTAAGGCTGCAGTTTGGCAGTTATCTCTTACTAACTGAAGCAGGACAGTCTGTTCAGTCACACTCGTATCGTGGATACCATGAAATGTTTGGTTGTTATATCACTGAAACTGGCTCGGTGCACTGCTGTGGTCATTTTAGGGCTCTGCTTGGACTTTCATTTGAATGAAAAAGTTATGGTTTGTAAAAATCGCCTGACCAGTTTTACACAGCCTCGTTAAAAAGTTTTACTTTAGCCTCAGTTTGATATATGGAATATTTTTCCAGCAATAATGAGAAGAGTTGTGGCTAACACTTTACTTTATGGGACCGTTACTTGCTAACAATTTCTTTTAAGTTTCTTGGAAAAAACATTTTAATTTGGTACCAACTACATTGAAAGTAGAGACAAAGTTCTTAGGCTATGTCTTTTATTTGGTTAGTTGAGTTGAGTTGAGTTTGTAAGCAAGTGGTTGATTTCCAGAGAAACAACCTTGAAAAGAAACTTCAATTAAACCCAACAGTAATTCATCATTAATGTATTTATTTCTTTAAACTTTATTCTTCATTACCTGCTATACACTGTTTAAAGGACTAAATAAGTTTATGCTCATCTAGCATATATTTGACATTAATTAATGGGCAGCGTACTAACTGAACACTGTCTGTATTTTACTCATAATTAGTACAATTATCCTTAATTCATTAATTTTCGCCTGTAATTAGCACCAAATTCCATAAATAAATCCAAACATTTTAGAACAGGAAAGTAATGCGTTCATCATCATAATTCTTTTGAAGTGAAAGCACAATATCTGGTTTTAGGTTTAACTTACTTCTGTGTTTTTGGCTGTGTTAATATTTGTAAATGAACCATGTGATTTTGCATCAGTTAAAAAAAAACAAAAAAACAAGATACTGGGAGTGCTTCTGTTTTATTCCATAAAGTGTACATTTCAGAGTTATTTTTGATAAATGATCAATTCAAATAGATCTTACTTGTGGACTGTTTGGATCCTGTGGCACTTTAACTCTCCTCTGCAAGATTATTGATGGAAATTCTGTGGCTCAACACTTGGTTGGTTTTATCATGCTGGGGCCATAAAAGAGAGCTGACTAATCACTTGTGTCAATCCGGGTTATTATCCGCTGGTGATTTGTCACCACCATAAAAACATTTAATGAATCCTTTTCGAAGTTGAAAAAAAAACACAGCATCCCTGCAATTCAATATAGTTTTTGTGTCTTGCTGAAAAGATTTCTGTTTAAAGGGAAGACTTGTTTTGTGAAACACTTGTAAAAATAATCTTTTCCTATTGTTCCTTTTGTATTTTTTCACCCGCTGTTGTCAAAAACAGTCGAACATGTTTTGCTCATTCTGAATTCTGTGTGTTTTTGTTGCTTTGTGATCTTCCGCAAAGCTTTAGAGCAAAGCTGACATGTTTACTGTGTGGTATACTTTTATTTATTTTCTGGATGTACAGTTTCTCTGCACCTGTAGCTGATTCCAGCCTCGCTTTCATTTACTTTCTTCTCTGGTTAAGCTGACAGTCATCTGTAGTGAGAGGTGAAACTTGGCAGACGAACACAGAGACCTGTCTGACATTTTTTAAGCATTCAGGCGTGAGGTTTAGACTCTGGATCTTTGGACTTCGTCTCGTCAACTGTTGGCTCACCAGACTTCCACTGTCCATGCGGAGCCAACAGTGTTCAACACCAAAGCATGACTGTGTAGTGAGGCACGCACTGTACCGACCGTCAGGCACCCTGGCCCACGTTTCTCTTTTCTTTTGCCCAGAGTGGTGGAAGAATGCATTATTCAGCCCTCTGAAACAAACCCCCAGAGACAGTAAAAGAAGAGATGAAGCCCCCTTGGCAGCCCCAGTGGCATAGCTCAGTTCTTCTTTGAGTCACTGGCCTGGGTTCAGCCTGAGGGAAGAAAAGATAGTTCCTCTTTTTTTGTCCTGGCTTGAAAACGTAGCCAGTGACTGCCATAAATACAGTACTGAATGAAGGACAAGGGAGGATTAAGTCACTTAAATCAAAAGGACCATTGTCATTCTGGTGATTTTATGTCCATTGTCAAACATCCCAACCCTGGGGCTGCCATCACTGAAGGGACAAGCTCTATGAAACACAGCCTGAACAGGAAACAGTTTTTCGTGATGAGATGATCACCACACAGAGGGAAATGAGACATTAGGGAACTGATGAGAACTGAACTTTTAGGATCTATAGAATAGTTGTATAACTTCTCTCTTGTTATTTGTGCCTGAATCCCACAGGTCTCTGGCAGCTCAACAGACACTAACATCACAGTCACTGCTGACTCAGATCTACAAACAGATATCAGCTTAAATTAAACTACTTTGTCTGTTTCTGGTT